CTCTCTCCCCTTCCCCTCTGCCTCGTCTCCTCAGTCCGATGTGGTATTTTCTTTAGCTGAGCACCAATGGGAACTCGTTTCACTCCACCCCTATCACTCCTCATGCTCTCACCATCCCCTCTCCCCCCCTCCCTTCCTCCCCCTCAGATGAGCGTCTGGTCTGGACTCCTCCCTCTCCTCCCTTCACTGCTCCTCCTTCCCTCTGACCCCTCTCCCGCTCAACGTCCCCTTTTCCATCCCCTCGCCTCCACTCTCCCACTCCCTCTCCATTGCACTTCGATGTGGTTTTCTCCTCAGATGAACGTCTGGACACCTCCTCCCTATCCGCCCTTCACTGCTCCCTGTTCCCTCTGCCCCACTCCTGCTCCCCTTGTGCCCTCCCCATCCCCTCTCGCCCCCTCTACTTGGCCTCCTCCTCTCCGCAGTTCGATGTGGTTTTCTCTTCTGATGAGCGTCTGAACACCTCCTCCCTTTCCGCCCTTCACTGCTCCCTGTTCCCCTCTGAACCCTCTCCCAATTTACCTCCCCTTCCCCTTCCTGTCCCCTCCGCTCTCCCGCCATCGCAGTTCGATGTGGTTTTCTCTTCAGATGAGCGCCTGGACACCTCCTCCCTCGTTAAGCGGTGAGCGCTCGTGTTCAACAGTAGCATTCATGACGCCATTCTGATTATATCTGCCACTAGATGTGTTCAAGATTTTCCTGTTTGACCTTCCCATATGGCATGCATATGGCTTATGACGTGTTGCATTGCCTCAACCCTTGTCTCTTCCTTTCCACCTCTCTCCACCGCTCTTTTTCCACGTCATTCTTTTGCTCCCATCTCACCTGCTCACCTCTGCCCCCTTGCCCACTTACCCCTCTCCCCCATTCCTCTCCGGCCAGCCTCAAGACGTTCAACATAATCCTCGAGCAAATGAGGCAGCGCCACATGGCATGAACGGGCTGTCACCGACCACGACTAGCAAACCCTCAGCCCTCGACTACTCCTTTGCACCCATCTCCACCGCTCTCTTTCCCCCTGCCAGCCTCAAGACGTTCAACATCATTCTGGAGCAAATGAGGCAGCGCCACATGGCATGGACCATCACCAATCGCGAGCTGCGTGCGCATGTGAAGGCCAAGACCCTATCGGGCCTGCTGGACAAATACCGTGAATTCATTATCCGACACGGGTGGGTGAAGGGGGAAAGAGGGGGGGCGCATGCATGGCACGTGAAGGCCAAGACCCTCTCAGGCCTGCTGGACAAATACAGAGAGTTCATAATTTGACACGGGTGGGTGAAGGGGGAAAGAGGGGGGGCGCATGCATGGCACGTGAAGGCCAAGACCCTCTCAGGCCTGCTGGACAAATACAGATAGTTCATAATTCGACACGGGTGGGTGAAGGGGGAAAGAGGGGGGGCGCATGCATGGCACGTGAAGGCCAAGACCCTCTCAGGCCTGCTGGACAAATACAGAGAGTTCATAATTCGACACGGGTGGGTGAAGGGGGAAAGAGGGGGGGCGCATGCATGGCACGTGAAGGCCAAGACCCTCTCAGGCCTGCTTGACAAATACCGCGAGTTCATCATTCGACACGGGTGGGTGAAGGGGGAAAGGGAGGGAGGGAGGGGGGGGGGGGGGGGGGGGGGGGGCATGCATGGCATGTCAAGGCCAAGACCCTTTCAGGCCTGCTCGACAAATACCGCGAGTTTGTCATCCGACACGGGTGGGTGAAAGGGGGGGAAGAGAGAGGAGGGGGGGAGAGGAGGAAGGGGGTGGGGATAGGGGAGGAAATCAGGATTGTCACTTTTGGGTCGCAGCTGTTGCTCTGCACTGCTCCCGGTTGTCACGGTTGCGGTTGCCACGGGTTGGGGCTGGGAGGGGTTGGATAATCACCTGCCTCTCCCCTTCCAGGAAAACTTTTCTCCCTGCCCTCCCTGCTGGCATGTGCTGAAGCAAAGAATCTTTTTATTCTTCTCCTTCCTTCCTGCCCCTGCCCTCCACCCTCCCCCTCTCCTCTCTCCCCCCCTTTTATACGCAACATACTGCGCAACCAGTGCTAGCTGGACGTGCGAGTGCTGGCGTGTGAGGAGGGTAAAGGATTTCCCCTTCCACCCTATCCCCCCTCCCCCCCCCCCACCCGCCCCCCCGCTCTTCTCTTCTCCCTCCAGCAACATTCTGCGCAACCAGCGCTCACTGGACGTGTGAGTGCTGGCGTGTGAGGAGGCAGCTAGGCCCACTTCATGTCCTGTCTTCTCTTCCCTTCTCCCCCATCACCTGCCCGTGGCCTCCCTCACTTTCAGCAACATATTGCGCAACCAGCGCTCTCTGGATGTGCGAGTGCTGGCGTGCGAGGAGGCAGCAAGGCCCACATCCTTAACCTGTCTACTCTTCCCTTCTCCTCCACTTCCTCTCCCTTCACCTTCTCATGCCCTCCTCCCCTCTCAGCAACATTCTGCGCAACCAGCGCTCACTGGACGTGCGAGTGCTGGCGTGTGAGGAGGTAGAGATGGCCTGGCCACACCAGATCCTCTCTTCACTTTCCGTCCTCTCTCATCCCCTGCCCTCCCTTTCAGCAACATTCTGCGCAACCAGCGCTCTCTGGATGTGCGTGTGCTGGCCTGTGAGGAGGTGGAGACGATGCTCGCAGATTCCTTCAGCACCGGGCCTGTGGGAAAACACAAGTGAGGGCGATGGCGCATGTGCTGAAAGGGGGGGGGGGGGGGGTGAAGAGCTGGTGAAGTGGGGGGACAGTAAGACGAGTGCTGGCATTCGAGGAGGTGGAGACCATGCTCGCAGATTCCTTCAGCGGCGGGCCTGTAGGAAAACACAAGTGAGGGCGGCTCTGTAAGAAACCACAAGTGGAGTTGGTGTGTGGAACGAGGGGAAGGGAGTGGTGGCGAGGCGGTGAAGTGGAGGATACGGGGGTCAACGAGGGCCTGTGCTGCTGCTGTGTGAAGAGGTGACTTTTGAGGCGCCTCAAACGCTGTCTCAGGAGTGGTGGCGAGGTGGTGAAGTGGAGGATATGGGGGTCAACGAGGGCCTGTGCTGCTGCTGTGTGACTATGCTACCAGGTGGGGACTATGCTGGCAGGTTCCTTAACTAGTGGGTCCGTGGTCAAGTGTGCGGTGCAGACGCCCTGAAGTGCTAGGCAAGAATGGTGAGAAGCTTTATGAGATTTTTGGGTATAACTTGCATACGGTAGTTCCTGAGGTGCCTGAGTGTTTGCATGTTAAGTTGGGCTGGGTTGTGGGCTTTGCAGGCCCATTTGTCACAAAGCCGGAACCAAATGGTCAGCAGTGTAGAGTGGTATGGGCCAAATTGGTTCGCGCCAAAGGTAGATGGACACAAATCGGCAACTTATGGTTACCGCTAATCACTGACTGCTTTTCCATTTCGATGGCATCCATGCTGTGCCCATGTGTGCTACGTTGCGGAACGTTATGCATTCAAAGTTTAGATCAATAGTGGATGATTTTAAACCTGTGAAAATATGCTGGTGGTGTTCAAACTTAACAATGCTACCTAGAATTTCTATTGCAATTCCTATATCGAACTGTCATCCACATTTGTCTTCGAGACCGCCTCCCGAAGCCACGTCAACACTCAAGCCACCTCCAGCAAAGCTGGGAACCGGGCTCGCTGCTCCATTGATCACCTTGCACGTGGTCACAGGTTTCCTGCCGCGCAGCGGCCAAAACGAGTCAGCATAATCTCACCCCACCACACCACAGCACATCCCTCCATCGGGCCGCGAATTTTCGAGTCTCTCTGAAATTTTACATCACAGCCTCCAGTTTCCAGATCGACAATTTCGCAAAATCTTTCGCATACAGCGCAATTGGTGGTTCTGCAAGCTTGTTGGTTCCCTCCAGGTCGGCGAATTAGCGGCGCCTGGCGCACTGCTGGTTCAGAATTCTTCGCAAATTCCCACATGGCAGCAGCGCCAGCCGCCGCCACAAGAAATGGCATGTCAGCCGATGGCTGGTCTGGTCGGTCGCCCGTCTCTCATCATCCTCATCACTCCTCTCGTTTCTCGCTGCTCGTTTCATTTGCTCAATCCCCTCCTGGTCCGTTTCTGATCACATGTCGCGCCGAAGGTACATACTTCACCTGATCACGACACCAAAACGCTTTCACGATTTCGTAAGCCCAGACCAATCGGTCTTTTTTCTTCAATAGTGCACGCACCTGCTGCAAGGCTCTCTTCGTCTCTGCAATAGAGCCAGTTTTGCATCATTTCGCAGCCTTCGACCAGTCTAATCTCAGTTACCTATCATCACTACTACCGACCGACGCGACGCGACGACTGAACATTGGTACATTTCGTCGCGTATTTTGGCAGTGGCACGTCGATCGAAACTGAACGGGTGGCTTTTCGAAGCGGGAACGGGACGTTCTCGCAACGTGGGATCGAATCTTCCCAGGATTCCGGAAGCGAATCGCGAAGCGGGGTTACAACTTACATGTCATACACTGAATCACAACCCCCCCGACCGAAGCCACGCGAGTACGCGACGTCGATACGGCAGTGAATCCGCGTACGCTGCGACTGCACTGAACGTCGCCACGCTGCGGCTGCACTGGACGTCGCGTCGCTGCGGCTGCACTGAACGTCGCGACGCTGCAACTGCACTGAACTCTGCGACGCTGCGACTGCACTGAACGTCGCGACGCTGCGACGGCACTGAGCACTGCGACGCCTAGGAGCATCAGGTTAAAACAGCCCAGGAAACTTTTCCGTACTTCACTCCCTTATGCCACCTCGTGGCCGTATTTGATTCCTCGTAAAATTCGGAGTCTTCCCACAACCAAAGCGCTGGACAGATTTCGATTTGCCTGAAGCCCGAGGCGTTACTACGGAAGTGAATGACCGGCTTTCTGCCTCCACATCTCTTGAGCGTGTAGCAGGGTGAACGGCCACTCAAGAGCGGCAGCAGGCGGAATTCTCATCGTACATCGAAAATATCCTCGTTATAGTCATGGCTGTTCGGATCAACGTTTCCCCGGTCGCGCACATGCGCGGAGGACTTTCCGCAGCACTCCCCGCGCCCTTCGTCGCCTGTCGTTCCGCGCCTCCCGCGGTTCAAGGTTCCGCCTGCGTTTCCGCGCTCGGTAGCACCCTCCGGATGCCCGGAGTCGACGTTTGCTCGTTCGCCGTTAGCTTCTCCAGTCGGCTAACCGTTACAGCCTTGCCGACCGTCGTCAACTTCGTCGTCGCCTCAAATCTGGATCGTGACATCGCCGTCAGTTCCGGCGCAACTCCCGCTGGTAGTTCTGGAAAAAGCTGGCGGAAGGACGGGGCGCACCGCGGAACCACTCTCCGCGCGCAAGCCGCCATCCTTGCGCCGCCGCCGCCCGTTGCGGAAGAGCCAGAAGCGATGACGGACACGGGCCGAGGAGGGGGAGACGGCGGATCGTTTAGGGGCGGAGGCGGCGAAGACGGCGGAAGCAACGGAGACGGTCGGTCGGGCGGAAGCGGAGGCGGCGGAGGCGGCGGGGGAGACGCTGGCGGAGACGAGAGCGGGAGGGGCGGAGATTTCGGCGCGCTCTTGGGATGGCCGCGCGTCGAGGCGGTTTTGCTGCGGAAGGGCGTAACGCTTCCGGAAGATATGCTGCTACACGCGCGGGAGCACGGTATATCGGAAGTGATTCTACAGAGGTTCTTGGACCTGCAAAACTCGTCGCTGGGCCCCGCTATAAGCAACTGCGCGGCGCTTCGCAACCGCTTGCTGATGGACCCTTCGTTCCTGTTCAAGGTTTTCTCAGAGGTGAGTTCTGTAGTTAACAGAGGTGGTAGACAGATTTAGTTGCGAATACAGGTTCTGGTTGCTTCCCACGCTTTTATACGCAAGCTTCACCCAATTCACGCTTCTCGTTTTGTTTTTTTTTTTCGTCTTCTTTTCTTCTTTTTCGTCATGTTCGTCAGATCGCCATCGATTGCGCGTGCGCGACGTTCGCGGAGGTGCAGAAGCGAGGCGACGATTTCTGGAAGGAGTTCGACCTGTACCTCTCGGACATGCTCGTTGGGATCATCATGGGTGGCGCCGTCGTGGGCTCGCTCGCGCCAGCCGCGCGATTCGCCACGTCAGCAGCTGGTGGACGGTTGCCGCGCATCTTGCCGCGCGGGGTTTCTGCTGCGCTCTCGGCGCTCCCAAGCAGGTCAGTACAGTGAGTTAGGTGACCGTTGAGTCAACTCAAAAGTCACCGTAAAGAACTGGAGTTTCATCCCAGCTGTTCTCGTGAGAGCTAGATAACGCTGCTGCAGCAAACGATTCCTATGGCACCTAAAAACCCGTCAGTTTGTGTTGCTTCTTCTGGCAAACGATTTCCGTTGACTCTTACTTACCCCTCCTTCACCTCCTCCTCCCGCAACCCCTGCCATTTCCATCCTTGCATACAGTGTGTTTGAGGCATCCCTTCCGGGTCATAAGTTTTCAGCTGCCCAACGAACTATCACCCTCTTCGTCAAGGTGATAAATCTGCCCGCGTATCCCAGCCCTTTTTCACCCAACCCAAACTTTCTCGCCCAAAGCCCTTTCATTCTCTCTGTCATCCACCAATTCCCGCACTGCCCCGCTTGGTGAATACAACCCAGTTCATGTGACAGTGCAGGGTCACGTTACCAAGTACTTTAAGGACGTGCATACGTCTATCCTTTGCCACATTGCTATCTAAGTTACCGCTGTAACAACACCTCCAATCGCCTTGAGCTTGCCTTGCAAAATGTTTCTTCTCTTCATCCGCTTGCGCACCTTCCCTCCTCCATTGCTTTACTTCCTTCCCTCTGTTCACAATGCCAGGGCATGGAGTATGGAGGGTTTGGCTTCGCCTCGGGCCTTCTGGGTCAGGGGATCGCTAATGGCGTGATGACTCTGAAAAGGTACGCGTTGTAGTCTCGTTTTTCGAGAGCAACCACATTGTTTCAGGAAGAACCTCACTTGGGAGTTGAAAAGGCTCGTGTTATTAGCTCTTCCTCCAACTATTCACTCCCCCTGATCATAAAGAGCACTTCAGCTCAAACTCCTCCTCGTTTTTGCATGCACTCCCCAACATTTCTCTCAAACCTTCACCTATATCCGCCTATTTTGTTCTCCTCCCCCTCCTGCGATCATTTCAGAAGTGTGCGGCAGAAGGGAGAGCCTGCTCACGCAGAGGACAACCACGTCAAACCACCACCGCTCTTCAAAACAGCTCTCCTCTGGGGAGCCTTCATGGCAGTTTCCTCCAACCCTAGGTACCAGGTTGTCACAGGTTTGGAGAGGCTGGTTGATGGCTCGGCAGTGGCTTGGAGCCTGCCATGGCTGTCAGGCTCGTTCACGGTGGCGGTGAGGTTTGCTAATAACATTTACGGCAGCAGCCAGTTTGTGGATTGGGCGCGGATGGCAGGTGTGCAGTGATGCAGGGTGCAAGCTTGTCAACAGGTTGCTTTGAATGGCTCTTGAAGGTTGCTTCAAATGGCTCTTGTATATCAGGGAACTAAGCACACCTTGTGCTGGAGGGTGAGAATTGGCAATGATTTGGAAGGAAGCAACTTCCAGGGTTGGTATGGTATCACTCTCTACATCAATTTTGTACGTTGGATGTAGGCTGGCGCTATTTTCTACATATTTATTATTCATTGTATAATCAATATGGAAGATACTGCTCCATGATACGCATACCTGCATGACAAAATGTAAACCTACACCAGCACAAACTTGCTCATAACGAGTAACCTTTTCAAAACGAGGTACATGTTGTGACCTCAACTGTCCTCCTCCAGATCTCAGTACGACGTGGCGTCCTGTGAAAGGAGCATTGTGCTTTCCCGAAACATCACTTGTCAGAACCGATTGTGGTTGTGCTTTCGCTGAAAGAAGCAGCAGTGGTTGGCCATTCCCTTGCTGCGACGCGAACTCATTCCGCGCACGTCTTGTATGTCAGGCTAGCAGGCGCAGGCGCGGAATGATGTGCGCAGCGCAATCTCCGCATTGCGCACGGCGGAGCACCCACATGAGATGTGGGGGAAATGTGGGGAGGGGTTGCCCCCGTACGCGGTTTGGGGGGAAATGTGGGGAGGGGAAAGGCGAGCTGGTGGTTGGTGTTGTGCAGTGTGGCGGAAGTGTGGGAGGATGGAGGAACGGGAGACGACAATTCTGGTGATGAGGGTGTTCTGGCGAGTATTTTGGAGGGTTCCAAAAGGAATAGCACTTTCTTGCAATTACTGTTTTTAATTCCCACAAACACATTCTGGATCTTGGAAGCCTCTCCCTACCGTAGGAGATATGTTGAATATATCAGGGAGGGGTGGAGTTCACTTGCTTTTCGGTTTACGGAGAAAGGACGATAGAAGTCGAAATAAATAAAACATCCAGTGGGAAAACTAAGCATCGCCACCAGTGGAATGGTGGGTGGTACGGAACGGAAGCCGCCACAACATGCCGAGGAGAATGACGGGCACAGAACCGACAAATGTAAAGCATCTCGCCTGGAACCACCCTCTTCCCTCTCACGCACACTCTATCTCACCGTGCCTTGAGAGCACCCCCTCGGCCCCTCTTTTTCTCCATCACCACAAACAACCACCGCCTTTCCACAAACGAGAAAACGAGAAGAGCAGCAGCAGAGAGGAGTTTTGAGTTTTGAGCTGCACGCATGGACGCACGCACCCAATCACTGGAGGGCTGATAGGTTCTGCACCTTGAGCTGGTCTAGAGAAAGTAGGTGGACAGTGTTGTCTTGTTGCGGTAGCCAGCAGGGCAATGAGCTGGATGCCACGCCAATAGTTGCGGCAACTCGAGGCGTTGTGCCACTGGACTTCGGTTCAGTTCATTATGAATGAACAGAGTCTCCTAAGTTAGGAGTCCTAACCTAACCACTAGGTCTCATAAACACCAATGCGATTACAGCACACTTGTTAGGTCACTCTCCGCTTGAGTTTCCTTGATTCCTAGTGTTCGCCTCTGCGTAAACAGTGAACAATTTCCAAGTTTCCTCGCGGAAGCGTAGACCTAATTTGCTGTGCTGGTGCATATGTGACTAGCTGGAGTCGCGTTGTCTGCAGTCGTGCTCGAGCTGTATTTATGAAGCTTTTCTTAGAGTTCACGTGCGCCTAAAACTGGCTGATAGCAGTCAATCCGCTTACTCTTCACTCCAAACCGGTCCTTGGGGAAATCGAACTGGTAGCTGTCAAGCACGTTTCGATCGTGTCGTGCTTCGTTGCAAAACTGTTAGCGGGGTCACTTATTGTCGGCTTTACGATCCGCCTTCTATTTCTGTTCACTTCATTACTTAACTCTTCGTTATTATTTAGAGCACGGCGCAATGGCGCTTTCGGCCCTCCTAAACATCCCTAGTTCTCACAGTTTCGGCTCGTAGCAAAAATCAGCTCGTAGCAAGACTGTTCTGAGCCGACTCACTCTAGTCAGCCACGGGTTGGCAAGTGTCGTGAGTCATACCAGTAGCTTACGTCCTCTCCTTTCCGCCGTCTCGCATCCGTTCTGATCATTATTTAAAGAGGCAGCTTCCCCCTAACGACAGTATCAGCGCGCTGCCTGAAAAACACACTCAGGTCACTCGACGTCTTATTATTAAATAGAACTGATAATTGCTGGGTTGTGGTAACCAGATGGCTACCAGTCGGCAACGTGGTTACGTTCAACCATTGTCGGGCGGGGAAGAACAAGGCGGGCCCATGTCCCCCTACGCACAGCCCCGCCGAATGGCCCCCGGCGGAGGGGGAGGAGGAGGGGACGGTCCCCCCGCGCGCAACCCCGGCCGCGGACGCCGCGTGGCTGGCGGCGGCGGCGGCGGCGCCCCTCAGGCGCAATTCACGCGGATTAACTCGATGATCTACCAGCCGTCTCCGCAGCAGGAAGAGCAACCGGCGGAGCCCCGTTATAAGCGCACTCTCTCTATGGTCGCCCCCGCGCCAAACAACAAAACGCCCCCGCGCGGAGTTAGAGCAGCAGGCGCGGGGGGGCCGCACGCCGGAGGCCCAGGCATGGGCGCGGGTAGGGGTGGGCGGGGGAAGCTTCCCCACTCGTCGTCCGTCGGCGGACCGGACGGCGGAATGCGCAGGGGGGTGGGCGCGGGGGTGGAAGACCCCTTGGCGGATCAATTCGGGCGGAGCATGACGGTCGGGAACAAAGCGCCCACTCCGCGCGGGCCTGGCGCGGGGAGAGGCGTTGGCGGAGGCGGGCAGTTTGGCGGCGGAGAGCCGGAAATTGGACGGTCGTTGACGGCCACTGACGGCCGGCACCGATCGCCGTTAAGACAGAACCCGCACGCGACGGGGGGAATGGGCGTCGGGGGAATGATCACTCCGCGGAGGACCCAGGCGCAACAGATGGTGGCGGGCGGAGGGCGCGGTGGAATGGGCGGAATGGGGGGGATGGGAGGCGCTCCAGGCAGTCCGTACCGCCAACGCGCGGGGAGCGGGTTTTCGCAAGGCGGGTACATGGAGGGAGGGGGAGAGTACGGCGACGAAAGCGACGGGATGTACGGCGAAGATGGTTACCACCAGAACATGCAACGGTCGCGATCCACCGGCATGGGGATGATGGGCGCAGGCGGGCGCATGGCGGGCGGGGGAATGGGCGGCGGAATGCCCCCGCATGCGCCTGGCGGAAGGGGAATGGGCGGAGGGCGCATGGGCATGGGGGAAGAGCACTACTACACTTCGGACGCGTCGGAAGGGGGGGCCGGCGGAGGGGCGTATCCGCGTAGTCGGTCGGTGAATCCGCGCTTAGAGGGCGCGGGGGCCTCGGGGGACGCGGGGGGGATGGCGGCGCAGGGAAAGGCGGGGAAAGCGGAGGTCGACCCGTCGGAACTCCCCATGCTGCCCCCCCCGGGCAGTCCGCAAGTCGTGCAGGTGTGCACTTTCGCTCACTCACTTTCTCTCAATCGCTCGTTGCCTATAGAAACTTCCCACCTTTCTCTTCTCTCTGTTATCCCTTCCACTCGCCTTACCCCCTCGGGCAGCCCGCAGGTCGTGCAGGTACGGGATCTTGCCTACCCTCTCCCTTCCTATTCTCCCCTGGCCTGCCTTTCCCCTGTTCTTTATACTACCTCTCGACTGGCTTTTCCCCCCGCCTCTCCACCGCCTTTGTCCGCGTTCCACTGCTGTCATTGGCATCTATTTTTTTCTCCTTTTTTTTTTCTTTCTTTCGTCCTACCTCGCGCGTGCACGCGTGCACAAAAATAGCGGTAGGTTTTTGGTATTCGATTTGACTGGATCAGGTAAGATATTTATCATTCTCGTTGTTTACAAACTCGGGACGCCTGGTTTACTCGAGGCCAAGAACGCTGCAAGAGCGTGCTATAGCGTGAACGGCTTTTAACGAGGTTAGCGGACCTTTGTTAGCCGGCGAAACAAGTTGTTGTGGAAAGCTGAAACGAACCCCTTCTATGTGCGAAAACTTCTGCGAACGAAGCTGGATATTCGTGGACGGTAACAAAAGAACCCTGGTTGGTTGCAGACCATCGCGAGTTTCGCGAGGCTGGAACTCTACTCCGCACGGGCTGGTTACGGGCTGGTTGGGATTCCGGAGCGAGCAGTTGGTTTCTTGCTCGCCTCATATTCAAACCACTCCCGCCAAACCAGACCCTCCCCTTCCGGCCCCAGCACACCCACCCACAAGCGCAGCACTGACCCAAGGTCACTTGTGAAATTTCCTTTTAAGGCTGGAAATTGTCTCGAGTGGCTCCAGTTCAAGGCTTGAAGCCCCAACCCAGCGGCTTTTCTAGCAAGCCTCTCACTTGCCTTCCTCTTTTCCCCTCCTCCTCTCCTCTTCTCTTCATCTCCTCTCCCTCTCTCCTCTCCCCTGATCTCATCTTCTATCCATTCCTGTCCTCCTCGTCTCCCCACCAGTCAGCGCTGCTCTCAGCTGCTAGAGGTGCCAGCAGCGCTCCCACCCGCCAAGAAGGGCATTCAGAAGCTCCGCTGCGGAAAGTGCATGCCCGTCTCATGCCCTCTCTCCTGCCCTGTTCGCCCCTACTCCTTACTCCCCCCACCAGTGTCAGCGCTGCTCTCAGCTGCTAGAGGTGCCAGCAGCGCTCCCTCCCGCCAAGAAGGGCATTCAGAAGCTCCGCTGCGGCAAGTGCATGCGCGTCTCACGCTTCCGAGTCAACCCAGCCGACCCACGCTCTGCTGCCGCCGCTGCTGCTTCTGCCGGCGGGGTTAGCGGCGGGGAGGGTTTTTCGGATAACCCTGACGTGGCGGATAGTGGGAATGAGTATCAGCAGAATGATTATATGCAGCAGCAACAGCAGCAGCAGCAGCAGCAGCCTCCTAGGTCTCCTAGACTGCTGCAGGGGTTGCCAGGCGCGGGAGGGTTTGGGAGAGGCATGGGGGGAGGGATGGGGGGAGGGGGAGGCGGAGGGGGAGCGCCCCCGCTGTCTCCGCGCATGCAGCGCCCTGGTGGGGGATTTGGCGGTCAGCAGATGCACAATCCAGGTCAGCAGATGAACAATCCAGGTCAGCACGGGCGCACGCCGTCCAACGCGGATTCGGAGAGCACTGTTGTGATTCGCCAGGAGTCGGCCGGGCGGCACGCGGCCGGCAGTTTCTACCACCACATGCGACCAGAATCAGAATCAGATCTTAGCTCCCCTGTTAGTGGCGCAGAGGGGTACGGGGGCGGAAGGGGAGGCGGAAGAGGGGGAGGCGGAGGGAGAGGGGGAGGGGTGAGTGGGCCAAGACGAATGATTTACCAGCGACAGAGCAGCTTTGAATCTGGTGATATGTCGTCGAGTGGAGGCATGCCGAGTCCTTCCCCTAGAGGGCCGAGGGAGGGGGGCGGGATGGGGGGAGGAGGGGGGAGTGGGGGGGAGGAGCGGGCGACGTATGCGCGGAGAGTGATTGTGAACGGGGAACCGATTCGGGATGACTATGTTGCTGTGGTGGAACAGAAGGCAGGGAACATCCACCCAGGCAATTATTGGTGAGTGCAGGAACTCGGAAATCCAAATATATCTTCTTATTCTCGCCTTTTCTTCCCTCCCTCCCCCCCCCCCCCCCCCCCCCTTCCTCCCCCACCCCCCTCCTTCCCATTTCCCCCACTCCACCCCCAAACCCCTCGCTCCCACTTCCCACCAGCTACTTGCCTCGGCATTTATGTGCTATACACATTCTTTTTTATTTTTCCCCTTTTTTCGATGGGGGTGGGGTTGGTGCTACTGGCTGGCAGGTATGACCAGGTCGCAGGGTTCTGGGGCGAGATGGGCGGCCCATGCCTCGGCATCATTCCAGTGAGTGCCAGCTGTGCTCCCCATGCATGTTGCTCTCCATGCATACCCCATTCATACCTCATGCAAACCCCATGCATAACCCATGTGAACCCCATGTATGCACTTTTTGTATGCTCCTAACGTCAAGATCACCCATGCTGATTGTACTTGGCATGGACTTGACCGAATGTGGTCACCTGATTTAATCCAACCATGAAGTGCTGGAGAATAACAGCAAGAGTGGTGAAGCTTTTTCTGGAATACGAGTTGTGAAATGTCTCACTTCTGTTTACCCTCCCACTCCCCTCCCTCCTCCGTCTGTGCGTTCCCTTCCTGCAGCCGGGGATTGAGTTTGGAACGCCGATCCCCGTGGACTGTGCGGGAGGCGCGACTCGCGTGTATGTGAACGGGAGGGAGCTGCACAAGAACGACCTGGACCGGCTCATGAAGAGAGGGCTGCCTGAAAAGGACCTTTTTGAACTCAACATGGGCCGATCACAAGGCCTCTCGTTTGACTGTTGCTGTTCTCATTTCTCTTCTGCTTACCTCCATTTCTTCACCGCCTGTGCCATCCCTCCTTCCTGCAGCCGGGGATTGAGTTTGGGACGCCGATCCCCGTGGACTGTGCGGGAGGCGCCACGCGTGTGTATGTGAACGGAAGGGAGCTGCACAAGAAGGACCTGGACCGGCTTATGAAGAGAGGGCTGCCGTCCAAGCCCAACATGTCGTACCGAGTGGAGATTAATGGGAGCGTGTATGATGAGGAGACGGGGGACTACCTCCTCAGCCTGGGAAAACTCGCACCCTCGTGAGTACCATTTTTTTTTTCTATGATTTATACATGGGTGGATTCTGAATCTTGGGTAGAGATGGCAGAGGGGATTTTGGAGTGGAGATTCTGTCAGGAACATGTGGGGTGGAAAAGGTGCAGTCGGGGGGTGCTGAATGGGTGTCTGAAGAGATATAGTGGGTGATGGATAAGAGCCATTAAAACTTGATATAATGCTATGTCCATTTTGTGCTATGTTCTGTGTGTTGTGTCGCAGGCTGGAAACAAGGAAGCGGGGTGGCGGCATGAAGGTGCCTGAATCTAACTGACGAGCAAGCTACTGTAGTCTCAAAGGTCCATGAATGATGAAAGCCTTAGTGCTAAACACTCTGATTAAGGTCTATAGATTGTTGTTGATTCCATAGGTCACAATGGTGGCATGGCATGGTATGACACTGCCCTCTACTGTCAGCCAATAGGGTCTAAGTGCAACTCTCAGGGCCTGTGTCACTGTCCTGATGGCTGGATGGTACAATGTCATGCTCATTAACCCTTTGCACGGAATATTTCAAATTGTACACAGGAGGAGTGTAAGCAAGCGCCTTTCAATCATTTTGACAAATCTTTATTTACACGGAACAGCTTGAGGCAGTGAGATGAATCTCTTGCTATCAATTCCTGTTGACAGCTGCAATGCAAGCCCTTTTGACATAACTCGCCATTTCTTTGTTTCAGGGATGTCAGGTGTTGGCAAAACCAGCCTTGAAGAGCAAGATCGCATGGCCCTTGAGAAAGAAGTAGATGAAGTGTTTTTCCTCATGCGTCACGTACGATCCTGCAGTGACAACAAGGCAGTTCTTATGGTCGTCCTCCACATCCGTCCTCCAGACACGTTAGAAAGATGGTTAACCTTCCTCACCGAAGTTTTTTCCAACTATGCAGTGCCACACGGGCGAGTGCTTCTCATCGAACGCCGTCTTTATGTGGAGAGCAATGTCTTGCAAAGCTGTTTTTGACTCCATTGCCTGGATATGATGCACAGGATGTTAGTGGAGAGTGCATAACGAATCGAAAGCTCAAACTGCAAACAGGGCTAACCTCGGTCGCTACTGTAATGGCGTCTTTCTGCATCTCCTCAGACATGTCAGCTTTCTTGATCTGTGCTTCTACAGCCATGGTGAGACCTTATATCAAACGGAGAAGAGGTCAAATTGGCTGAAGCCAAACGGATCAGGCCAAATGGACCGTTCCTTCGTGAAAGTACCGTAAGAAAGAAATTTGAGCTACTTTATGGTTGAAATGAAGTCTAGACTGCTTTGTAGCATACCTTTTCAGGAACCTAGATTTCAGTGAGATGCATGCTCGCAAGACGAAATACCTCGCGTCGCAGGGAGCGCCTGGGATTGGTGAACACTACCTTGGCAAAGTTCGCGAAGATTCGGATGCGACAACCGCCCAGTTTTCAGGTGGCATGAAAGTCAGTTCGCGAAAACATGGGGTTACCCATCCGGGTTTCGCACATGTCTGTAACGAAAGGAAAAGGTTCATTCTCACCTCTTCGCAAAAGAGGCTTGGCCTGGGTTGGTTTCTAGGGCCAGAGTTGTCAGAGCATACGACAGTAGGTCCCAGTAATTGTATTACTGTACCGCTAGGCACGCTAGGCTAGCTTCTGCACCTACCGTGGAAGGCCTTTGTGCAGACAGTTTTAGGACATCTTCGATGGCTCGCAATAGCTTGCGTCAACGAATCAGAATCGCTGTCAAGAATGTGGAATCTATGAAACTGCCTCGAGAAATGAGAACTAGAAACGGTGAGCTGCGGATCGACGGAATATGGAAATGCTCTCGAAATCAGCTCAACAGATAATAAGTCGCACTGTCGTCGGGTGACATCTGCTCGTTTCAAGCTGCTCGTTCTCCGCTGCAGGGATGGCTTTCCAGCTGGAGAAAAAGCCGAGCAGAGCTTTGAGTCATGACGAGGAGATTTGGGTAAAAGATTTGCTCGAGGTACGACCGTCGCGTCTGGCCTCCCCTGTTCTTGTTTTGACTTACAGCGAATTTCTATTTCAGGCGCAAAGAGTCGCAATGGTGAGGGAGGTTCTTACGACATGTGCCATACATTTCACAATGTCTCTTCCGATAACCGTGACAGAGAAACATGGAGCAGCACTTTGCACCGTCCACCTGGCCACAAGTGCTTTCTGGCAAGCTGACAGAAGCAGTGGAGCCCGACGCCATTTATCTCATTCTCAAACAGTCAAAGGCCGCCAACAAAGGAACCACTGGCGTACAGGTTGTAGCAGTAGAGAGCATGGCTGATTGCACAGTTGAGGCCAGAGGCACTAAGACTTCACAAATTCGAGACTGCCAGCCTTCCATACTTCAGATGCAGGAAGACAGATTTTCTCAACAACATCAAAACCCATCGAATTCAAGATCAGCACGCAGTGTCCGGCGGACCACTAAGTTCTTAGATCATGGGATCCGGGGATGCATGGGAAATAGCGGCACGACAGGAGGCAAGCATGTAGGGTTCATGCAGTTTCGCATTGTCGAGGAGAATGAAATGGCTTCTCTGTACGTGTATGAGTTACAAGTGGAGGCTGAATACCAAGGAATGGGAATTGGCAGCAAGCTTATGAGGATTGCTGGGCTCATGGTTAAGAAGGTATGACAGCTGAACTTTCTGCTCCTGATTGTCTTTTGTCCTTTTCCCTGTCAATGCACGTGGATGTTTGTTGTATTTTTGGCCAAGCTTCTCTATCTCCCACTTTCCATGTTTTTTTCTCAGTGTGAGCTTGATGCCATCTTCTTAACGGTCCAAAAGGAGAATAAAGATGCCAGAGCACTCTACATGGAGAAGCTAGGGTGAGAAAACTTCAGAAACATTCCACATTCCGTGAGGCTGTTGCAGGGAGTCTGCTCGTGGGCATTAAATCAGTACAGTGGGAATTTTCTGAGTCCCTGAATTCTAGCCATGTACCACAATACATTTACTCAGTACCCTCCAACCCTCCTACAAGCTGGAATGTTTTTGTTCTTTATTTATTTTGTTTTCGCATTTATTGTTATTTGTATAAGTGCCTCACTTCATTTTTGTGTTCACACTTCTGCTGCACTTGCAATGTTGGTTTTCCATATTTGCCAGAGGTATTTTATGCATCTGTATCATTGTGTTTCTCCCCTCATTGCAGGTTTCGAATTGCGGATCACTCACCAGCGAAGGTATGTCATTGACGAGAAGAATACACGTAGTACAGCTGTTTAAGATTCCATCATGCTTTGTTTGCAGCCAGGGCACGCCCTGATAAACAAATCTTGTCAGTTGCTTACCCCTGCTTAGTTTGATGTGCAGGACGAGCAGCAGGACTACGAAATATTGGTACATGCTAATCCATTGAAACTAATGTGCTAATGATGTTAGAGATTGGTTGGCTGCTTGTTGTCTTCCTGGAAAGTGTGGCACACTCAACTTCCAAATTTGGCTGCTTGTTCTCTTCCACACAACTGTTTTGCAATTAAAGTCAATTTCTCTTACCGTAATTGAGATTCTGGTTTTATTAAGCTCATTATGAAAGGCCACCATTCCTCCACATCTTCTATGGAGGATAGGTTGGGATGGTCGGTGCGTGGGGGGGATGCCGTGGACCGTGGTGCTCACACGTCCTTCCTTATCACCTGCCCACTCGCCCCTTATCATCACGACTCTCAAACTAGTCTTTCCGTTCATTCTTGCGTGGTTACGTTATGACAGGACCACTTGGTCGGATAGTTAGCTCTAGTACTAACGCAACCGGCGGAGGCGATAAAATCTTCAAGGAGGTCCCCGAGTTGGGCAGCGGCGACCGAACCGACTGTGGTTCGACCTTTGACACCCCGAGCAAATCCGCGCGGCGACGACCATGGCTCGCCAGTTCCCGCAAACTCACCACGTCACGTGTTTCCAAGCTGCTTCTTTTTCTGAGCCTTCTCATTGTCTTACTCTTAGGCTACTCGTTTCAATCCAACGTGCTTCGATTTTCTGCTGTGAATACAACGAGCGCCACATTCGTCACGCGGGATTTAAGCGGCGACGCCAATGGAACGTGGGGACTTATACCCGAGAAGATCGATCTTGTATCGCGGATTGAAGACAAAAGACTGAAAGACGTTCGCTTGAACATCACAATCAATTGCGTGGATGTTCTTCAGACAGCCGCCAACCTCCCTGGTTCCAGGAGGACTGAATTGGATCCGTCGCATTTAGCCAAGTGCAAAGCCAGTTTATGCTCCGCGATGCAGCAACTCGCGATCCAAGCTTCAAAGCGAGCGGCTATAGAGATCAAGAACGACGACCGAAGTTTTTCCCCAGCATTAGTTAGCCAGATCGGTTGTTTATCCCCTGCTGACGCGGAGAATTTGCAAAATGTGTATCTAGGAATCGTGTGCAGTGAGGAGTGGAAGCACAACCTCTTGAGTCGCTTCCCTGACAACCATTTCTTCAAGCGAGGCGTTAAAGCCGAGAAGATATTGGTGTCGAACGTTTCTGCGCAAATAGATTCTCTTTGCGGGGAAGTTCTAGAGATAGAGAGGAACTATACGAAAGACCTCTTACAGGACCCCACAGAACGAGACGAGGGTAGTATCAACACCACCACCACCAGCAGCAGCAACAGCAGCAGCAGTGGTAACAACCCGGGTGATCAGGACAGTCCGTGCAGCCACTGGCCTGAGTCGTGCTGGCCTGTGCCTGGCATGCCGTTTTCCAAACTCACGGTAAGCACATGAGCTGCGCCTGCTGGCCTTGGGTGCATGGATCATGGGTTAGCTGCTCTATTAGAGTCCAAAGTTGTCTTACACTATTGTCTTGCGCCTGCTGGCCTTGAGTGATTTTCAGGGTCATGAATTAGCTGTTTTAACTCCAATGCCTTCTGTGTCAGGACAACGTAACATTGCTTGCATTTTCCTTCGTATTATTATCTTCTTGAATCAGGACTTTGCGAGTCGCAAGTACCTGGTGTTTGCAGCGGTGGAGGAGCAGCTCACCAACGCCAAGATCCATGTCATCGAGGCGGCACGGGTGGCAAGAGAGACCAACCGCATCCTCGTGCTCCCCAAGGTGCTTTTGCGTGCATTGTGGTTTGAACTGAACCTTTATTTCGCAAACTCCCCCTTGGTTCTCACGCCTCTCACCCCATTCCATAAATTGATCTGTTTTTCAAAGTCGAAGAAAAAACCTCTCAATGTTCCAAGTTTGACTGATCCGAACCAAGTTAAATGCTTGCTGATCTACCACACGAGCCACCTGCAGACAATGCCTTTTCACCAGGACATTATTCAAAGCACCTGGTCATCCAGATTTGGAAATCCAATTTTTGCTCCTGGGCCTTCCTCCCCGCACCCCTCCCCCCCCAAACCCCCACCCGCACCTCCCCCCTTCCCCCTCTCCGTCCACCCTCTTTTTTTTGTTGGTTTGTTGGTTTTGTGTGTGTTATCATACTTTGCTGCCTGTGTCTCCCAGGGCGGGCACAGCCATCTGTCACTGGGTCGATCCATGCCCATGTGTGCCTACTGCGACTTGGCTCACCTCAACGCCACCGAGTGGGTCTCCCCCGAGTTCTTCCTCCTCATAGCCCGGGCTGCCTTTATCCAACCGTCTGTGGGCTATCTCTGCATTGACACGCCTGAACTCGGCCGGCCCTGCTTCGGCACAAGTGAGCTTATGACAGAATAAGGCCATCATTAGCCTTGCTTGGTATCATGGCCCATGCCATGAGCCTCATGACCTGTGCCATTCGCCTCATGACCCATGCCATGAGCATCATGGTTCATGCCATGAGCCTCATGACCCAGTGCAGATCATGCAGTGCTGCAGAGTGAAACCTTGATTAACCTTGCGACCACCCGCCATGTACTCATCCCACACCCCCATGTACCCCTGCAGAGGAGATTATACGAAGCCTGGGGGGGCTGCTGACCCTGGGCATGGGTCAGCTTCCCTTGCGTACCACCACCGTCATGCTTCACATGCCTGCTCGTCCCGACCACATCCGCTCCCTCGTCCATGCGTGGTGAGTCTCCTAGCCTCTCTACTTCAGTGAGTCTTGCATGACTGTTAGAAAAAGCCGGGCTCAACCTGGGCATGGGTCGGCTTCCCTCATGTACCACCACTGTCAGGCTGCACGTGCCATCTTCTATGTCTATCGTGCCCTCTCTGGCTTGCTGGCATATGACCTCACTCACACACATCACTTGTCATTTCCGATGGCTGAATTTCTCATTTCTCGCAGGGCTGACAAGGACGTGGTGATCTACTCAAAGAACACGTTTGACTGTTTTGACAGGGCAAGAGATGACGTCGCACAATAACGTCAATCCTTTTTCTGTCTGTCGCCTGTTGTCTTGCTAGCAGGGTGGACAAGGACGTGGTGATCTACTCAAAGAACACGTTTGACCGCTTTGACAGGGCAACAGATGACGTTGCACACGAAGTCATACCCTACGCGAAGCAGTGGCACGATATGGCTGACAGTATCGTTTCCAAGCTCACAAAACCCTTCATTGCCATCCACTTCCGCTCCGAGTTCATTGCATACAACCTGGTAAGTGAAGTCCAGACCCTTCGCATATACATGCACATTCCATACTATAAGATGCTATCTGGATCCTGCTGTGTGTTCTGTTACCTTACAGAATTCACAAGTTTGTTGGGTAGTCCAGTTTTGGGAGTACCTTATACATTTTATTCCAGCATGCTCATTGCGTGACTGGCTGCTGCAGGCAGAGGAGAAGAAGGCTGAGCTATCAGCTGTGGATAGGCTGATGATTTTGGGAAAGCGCATGGAGCGATGCACGCGAGCAGCGGCACAGTTGATAAATCGTGTGAAAGCAAAGCGTGGTGCCAGAACTGTTTTTATAGCCGCTGACATTCCGTACAACAAATCGGGAGCAACACCCCGTTCTGAGTCTTGGGGGGGAATGGCTTGGGCCTACGGGAACGTCTCGCTGACTGAGGTGTCTCACTATTGGCTGACGTGGCTGCGGGCTAATATCAGTGGGACTGTTATGATTGACGAGCTGGTGCCATCGTTTAATGATGAAGACCCAGGTATGGAATATTTGTGTTTTGTCTTTTTAGGTGCGCGCCTTGATGTGCTGGTGTTGTCGTTTTGGGCTGGTTGTTCAGTGGTGTTATTTGGATGGGACGTAAGTGTTATGGTTAATGTGTTTGACTGTGGTTCTACAGGTGTTGTCGCCATTGTGGACAAGCTAATATGTGCACAGGCTCCAATCTTTATGGCGGGCCTTGCATCGTGTGGTGGTCGTCGAAATTTTGAAAAAGACATTCTTCTCCATCGTAGGAACATATTGGGCAAATGGATTGCTATTCCCCGATGGGAAGGGCGATAAGCCTCCCTAGTTTCGTTGGCGAAACAGGGTGGCTCTTTTATACGTGGTTATGCTTCTGTGGGATAAGCTTATATATGTATTTGCTTATATATATTTGTAAGCTTCATTGTTTATAAGTGTGGCGTCTATAATAAGCAGGGAGCTACCTGTACCGGCCCCTCAAGCGCCTCGGGCATCCTGTAAATCGGCAGCTGCGTGCCTGGGTTGGGTTGGGTTGGGTTGGGTTGAGTTGTTGCTGTTCAACCCCACCCTCGTGTCGTGAATTGTAATTTGTCAGTTCGCGAGCCCTTCAACGACTCGCGACTACAGTGCTATTGGTTACAGGACAGCACTCAACCTATCACAGACGTGGGAGCGTACAGCAGTTTTATATAAATCGCTCTGTACCATTTCAAAACGCTCGGTATCGTATTCCTGCCCGGGGGGATTCTGCCAGAGACCGGAATTTCCTTCCAGAAGCCCAGCGGCTGACATGACAGATTCATTCATTGCTGGTTCATTCATTCACAAGGAACGTGATGAGGTAGCGATTCGTTTTATGTCCGGCCGCGAGCCTTGCTGAAATTTGTCCCTTACTTCAGTCGGCAGCACTTCGCGTTGAAGACGCCTCGACTCCGTAGAATCATAGTCGGATAAGATGCGGCTGGCAAGGTGGATTTAGGGAGGGACCACGGAACGCTGAGAAGATAAACTCGACGCACGCGTGGTGTGAAACGTAGACACAAGATGCCATGAAACGAAAACCCTTTTTTAGCGGGAGTTTTACACGATGACAACATTTGTTTTTCCAGCAGGAGTTTAACGCGACGACAATACTAACCTTTTGCCAGCACCAGAAACTAGCTTTTTGTACGGAATAGCGACTGCCGCGTCGGAAAGCGTTGCCTCGCTTCTTAGCTGCTGGCCATGGCTACGACGTACTTTTGAGTCGACTCAGTGCTGCTGACCATGGCGACGACGTACAATCGGACATCGCACCCGTCGGACCTGGACGAACTCAGTTTCTCGAATCAGCGAGACGCCTTCTTTCGCCCGCCGTCCGCTGTAGGAGAATCCCCGAGCAAGTTCTTCCGACGTCGATCGTGGCTGGCTGGTCCGCAATCCATGGCTGTACAGCGTTCAATCCGATCCGTTTTACTCCCGGTCATCCTGCTCGGAATCTTCGTCTGCTGCTTAATCTACGGTGGGATATTCAGCGGGTTCCCAGGAGCGAATCTCCGCCGTTTATTGACGGCGAGCGACGATCCGACGGTAACGAACGCCAACCGGAGTTCCCTAGGTGCAGCTTTCAATATATCAGAGTCATGCATTCAGGTCCTGAAATCAGCAGCCAGGCTTCCTGGCGCGAAAATGAAATTCACGCCGATTCAGCTCACGGAGTGCAGCGTCACCTTATGCCAAGACATGCAGAACCTGGCTTATCAAGCGTCGCAGCGAGCGCTTATCGCAGCTCGAGAAGCCGCTTCGGGTCCAGATTCAGGCTCAGGTTTAGATTCAGGTTTAGATTCAGGATCAGGTTCAGGTTCGGGTTCGGGTTTGGGTTCGGGTTCAGGTTCAGTTTCACTGAACACAGTCGCAATCCAGCAGAAGCGACCGTTGAGTCGCGACGAGGTGGAGGAGCAGCAGCAGCAGGGGGACGTAGGGTTGGTGTGCACCCGAGCGTGGAAGCAGGGCCTTCTGGCCCGCGTGCCTGGCAGCCACTTCCTCACCCGCGCGTTCAAGAAGGAGCGGGTGTCACTGGGGAGCATTTCAGCTGGCGTGGACTCGATTTGCAATAAGGTGGAGGATGTGGAACGGCTGATGGCTAAAAGCTACTCTGGAAGCAGCAGCAGCGGTAGCGGTAGCAGCAGTGGTAGCGGCAGCGGTAGCGGCAGCGGCAACGATAGCAATAGCAGCGGCAGCAGTCCGAGTGACCCAGACAGTCCGTGCAACCACTGGCCTGAGCCATGCTGGCCTGTGCCTGGCATGCCGTTTTCCCAGCTCACTGTGAGTGCATTTTATTCACTTCCGTGAGCGATGTCTGCAAAAGCTACCCTTCCCCACGCTTCTTCCTCCGTTTCCTAGCTGTGACTGCATGTCATGCATCTCTTGACAACCCCTCTCCTCCCTAGCAACCTAGGAACCAACCCATTCCCTTCTGCTCTTCCTCTTTGTTTTTTGTTGATGTTATTTTGTGTGTGTGTGTGTGTGTGTGTGTGTGTGTGTGTGTGTGTGTGTGTGCGTGCGTGCGTGCGTGCGTGCGTGCGTGCGTGCGTGCGTGTGTGCGTGCGTGCGTGTGTGCGTGTGTGTGTTTGCGCGCGCGTGCGTGCGTGTGTGTGTGTGAGTGTGTGGGTTTGTGGGTGCATGTGCGCATGTGTGTGTGTGGGGGGGGGGGGGGGGTGTGTGTGTGTGTGTGTGTGTGTGCATGTGTGTGTGTGTGTGCATACGTGCATGTGTGCATGTGTGTGTGTGTCTGTCTGTCTGTGTGTCTGTGTGTGTGTGTGTGTGTGTGTGTGTGTCTGTGTGTGTGTGTGTGTGCGCGCTTTGTGCAACGCAGGACTTTGCGAGTCGCAAGTTCCTGGTGTTTGCAGCAGTGGAGGAGCAGCTCACCCCCCGCACCCCCTTCTGTCTCCGACTCCTCGTTTTTTTCTTCTTCCTTTTCTGTTTGATTTGCCTTTGCTATTTTGTGCAGGACTTTGCGAATCGCAAGTACCTGGTGTTTGCAGCGGTGGAGGAGCAGCTCACCAACGCCAAGATCCATGTCATTGAGGCGGCACGGGTGGCAAGAGAGACCAACCGCATCCTCGTGCTCCCCAAGGTAGGTGCCGTACACCCGTCCGTGACTCTTCTATCGCTCGCCTGTTTCCTCACCACCATCGTCGCCAGGAGCAGACCAGACTGACTCGCCAACGCCAAGATTCATCCATGTCGTGTCATTGAGGCGGTACGGGTGACCAGAGAGACAACTATCGTATCCCTGTGCTCGCCAAGGTGCATTTGTGATTTGAACTCCAATCCGAACATTCAGGTAACGCACTTATCACAAACTCGTATTTCCCATGCCGTTGAGGCTGCACGGGTCGCGAGAGGGACAAATCGCATTCTTGTGCTCCCCAAGGTACTGTGAGTGAGAGTGTTTCGCCTTTTCACACACATGTGCATTTTTCCCTTCCAAAGGCGCGCTTTTTGACCCCTAGTCTCACATTCTCCATAACTGTGCCCACTCACTTCCTTCCTACTACCTGCCGCCCCACGCACCTCCGCCCCACTAACCGCCACCCTACTCACTGCTTTTCCCCTCACTGCCTTCCCTTTGCCTTCCCCTTCACTGCGTTCCCAAGACATGACTCTTTCAACACTCAACACGCTAGCCCGTTCTCCTCACTCTGTTACCCCCGTTGCTTATTCACTTTCTCAGTCCCTCCCTCTCCCAGAAGCAAAGCTCGCTCACGAGCCAACAGGGCTGGGCTGGTGAGCCGCCAGGCCTGTTCGCCCCGAGCCAGCTTGGCTTGGCTTGAGCCGAGGTTCGGCACGGCCCTACATTCCAAGCCTTGAGCCCGCCCCCCTGCTCTTCTCCCTTTCTTCACCCCCTGCCCTTCCTCCCTCTCAGGGGTCCCACAGCCATCTGTCGCTGGGTCGGTCCATGCCCATGTGTGCCTACTGCGACTTG